CTCCTGTCCAAAATAGTTCCATGCATTTAGCTGGTGCAGGCGGTCTCTTTCGTGCCTTAAAAATGTTGAGCAATAGTTCCCATAAACGTTCATGTGTGTGTGATGGTCATGTGATGCTTCATTTGTGTAACGGAACTCCCGTACTCCGACCGAGTACCTTCCGTTGATGGACGCTTCCTAGCTTGCGCCGAGGACCACAAGCACCGCACCGGACACCACAACCACCGCAGACTCCACAACTGCCGTAGCTTAACAGGAGTCTCGCTGTCTTCCTTCCACCCTGGATCAGCTTCTGTCCTCCAGGACCGTGTGGGAAAGACCTCTCCGCCAGGAGATGCGTATCAGGAACAAGCTCTTAAAAGAGCTAAGTGATTAAAGCTCAGGGGAATATGCAGAGCATAGCAATCCCCAGTGTGAGTATAGCTGTCCCCTCCAATCACGAGACAAGACTACGTGTTGAGGGTCAAGAAGAACTGTTTACTTGGCACCAAAGGGCCTTCTTTTATGCAGGTTTTCCATACATAGTACCACCCACAGGGTTTTGCAGAACAACCAATAAACACGTAGTATACAGTACAAACACTCCCATCAATTACACACAAAATCCTCCACTCTGCCTTTTTACACATGTTCTATAACTTTAAAACTATACATCCAATCTTCATAAATAATCACATATTATTAATCAGCATACTAGAAATATGAACATACTCAAAAATCATGCAAATCCCTCCAGTAGTTCAAAAGTTAGTCGGAAGTCCTTTTCTGACCGAAAAATGACTAAATCCTATTCGAACATGCATTTGAATCTTCGAACGGGACTTAGCCTCTGGCTGCAGTGTCAAAGTGGAGGGAGAACGTATGGGTCAGCAGTGTTCGCGGAAATGTGTAGCCGATTTCAGTTGCCTAGATTCAGGGGCACACACCTCTGACCGCGTGCAAATGAACAAAGATGGCCACCACCACGTGTTCGTTTGTACGAACGGCGGCCACCCAGCGGTCGGCAATTTACCTACAGCAACCTCCCAGCCTGGGAGGAAAATTGCCTGCACGCTTCCACTTCTGGGTGGTCCGCCTGTACAGTACTTGGTTCAGTAAGCCCCATTTACTGAACCAAGTGGGAAACACCCATGCACAAGTCATTTTCACAGTCTGGGGACACAGTCTTAAAGGGGCATTGTTCCGATTTTCCCCAAAAATGTGCTTAAAGGGCCAGCACCAGTCCCATAAAAGTCCATAAGCCCCAATACAGTTCTTAAAGGGCCATACACAGGCCAATACAAGTCCATAGGCCCAAATAACATTTTTAAAGGGCCCTACACCCCAGGGCCATAGTCACAGGGGAGGAGGCAGGCAAGCAGGCCTCTCCAGGACCAAGTGGCGAAGGGCACTTCGTCACAATTTGAATATTCTTTCTACTGAATGCCACCTTCTTCGGATGGATTATCACGAATCTAAATGGTCCTGGAAGTCACCGCGGTGTTGCGGGGATTGAGTGTCCGAAAATAGTTCCAGACACTCAATGACCAAATCCCGCTGGACGCGTACGACAAAGCAAGATGGCGTGTTCGTGCATACGAATCAATGGCCACCCAGTGAACCACTTAGAACGTTGGGGTTGCAGTTTGGCATAGAGTCCAATGAGTCAATTGGCGGGACACGACTGGCTTGGGTAATCTAACGTTCGGCAAACTGTTCGGTGTATGAACAGATTAGACGTAGTTTGTTCGTTTTTAAATTCGTATGTGTTATTAGGGGCAGGATATTTCAACAAGAGTTTCAACAGCAACACGGCTTTTGTTACACAGGGCATTGCGCGCAGATATTTTATCATATTAAGCATGTGTCCTACTTTTGTCACTGAATCTCTCTTGCAGTCCATGTGTACCGGTCCCTGGCACCGGAAACAGAACGCAGCATGGTGTTTTACAGCGAGTCTCGCCTGGATGGTTTGCAGACAAGAGATGAGAAGCCCAGAGAAATGACGGAGACCTTCCAAGGCCGATTAGACCTTCTGTATTATAGGCACACTCAGTTCGGGAAAAAACCTAAGAAGGTGGCAATAGCTGGAGGACCGACTGAGACCAATCCAAGACCAATTCTGGTAATTCTGGATCATGGCATCAATGATAAAGTACCCAGTATCTGCAGTTTTATATTAATACCTATTAGCATTTACCAAACATGTGCACATGGATTTGAATGATAGATCCATACAAATGGCGATATATTTAACCTGTCAATATTGTCCTTTCCCTGAGTAGAAAATCATGGAGCGTTTCCATAGGAACACAGAAAAAGCAGCCAATGAGGATGTAGCCGAGCAAATTTTTCTAATCCGCGAGAATCGAATCCAGTTGCAATGTCACCGGGAGAATGATCATATCACCACCTCCTTCTGGGAGTTCCTAAAACCATCCAACTTAGGGGAGAAGGGCACCCATGTCATACTGACTCCCGAAACTGCCCTTTCCTTTCAGGCAAGTGTCATGTGTCCAGTCTGTGGCCATGTCCGGTCTGTTTTTTTGGAAGGCTTTCTAAGACTTATTGTAGAGTGACGGCCACTGTTCTTTGTTGATGGATCTCATTAGAAGGCTTAAATGTTATCTCTGCTTCTAAAATATCCGATTAGATATGTATCAAGATGTCATACGGGTCTCCTGGGATAGTGGGAGCTTAGTTCTTTTATAAAATGGCTTCTCTAATCCTCTTTAGAATAAAATGATCTTGATGAAGGTCAGTGACTGATTTGCTGCATGTTTGTTGTTTATGGTGGAAATAAACCAAATGTGTGATGCTGGGCCACTGTCCCATGTGTATGGTCTGTAAGAGAAAGCAGTAGTCTCAAAAACAACCCATCCTGCATGTCAGACTTCACCTGTTTCCTTGCCACAGGTAGAAAATTGTGAAAGATTCAATAAGCAGCTGTATGTGTATGAACGTCTTGTCAGCCTGCAGCAAGAAGAGATGATCGTGAAAAAAGGTGTCCGGAACTCTGAGGCAGAGGTATCAGTGCTCATTTCCTAACATTCCTTCACATGTTACTGACAGCATAATACAATGTGCACCGACTGATTCCTTCACATTCCACTCACCGCATAATACAATGTGCACCAACTGATTCCTTCACATTCCACTCACCGCATAATACAATGTGCACCGACTCATTCCTTCACATTCCAATCACCGCATAATACAATGTGCACCAACTGATTCCTTCACATTCCACTCACCGCATAATACAATGTACACCGACTCATTCCTTCACATTCCAATCACCGCATAATACAATCTGCACCGACTCATTCCTTCACATTCCAATCACCGCATAATACAGTGTGCACCGACTCATTCCTTCACATTCCAATCACCTCATAATACAATGTGCACCGACTCATTCATTCACATTCCAATCACCGCATAATACAATGTGCACCGACTCATTCCTTCACATTCCACTCACCGCATAATACAATGTGCACCGACTCATTCCTTCACATTCCAATCACCGCATAATACAATGTGCACCGACTCATTCCTTCACATTCCAATCACCGCATAACACAGTGTGCACCGACTCATTCCTTCACATTCCAATCACCGCATAACACAGTGTGCACCGACTCATTCCTTCACATTCCAATCACCGCATAATACAGTGTGCACCGACTAATTCCTTCACATTCCAATCACCGCATAATACAATGTGCACCGACTCATTCCTTCACATTCCACTCACTGCATAATACAATGTGCACCGACTCATTCCTTCACATTCCAATCACCGCATAATACAATCTGCACCGACTCATTCCTTCACATTCCAATCACCGCATAATACAATGTGCACCGACTCATTCCTTCACATTCCACTCACCGCATAATACAATGTGCACCGACTAATTCCTTCACATTCCAATCACCGCATAATACAATCTGCACCGACTCATTCCTTCACATTCCAATCACCGCATAATTCAGTGTGCACCGACTAATTCCTTCACATTCCAATCACCGCATAATACAATGTGCACTGACTCATGCCTTCACATTCCAATCACCGCATAATACAATGTGCACCGACGCATTCCTTCACATTCCACTCACCGCATAATACAATGTGCACCGACTCATTCCTTCACATTCCAATCACCGCATAATACAATGTGCACCGACTCATTCCTTCACATTCCAATCACCGCATAATACAATGTACCGACTCATTCCTTCACATTCCAATCACCGCATAATACAGTGTGCACCGACTCATTCCTTCACATTCCAATCACCGCATAATACAATGTGCACCGACTCATTCCTTCACATTCCAATCACCGCATAATACAATATGCACCGACTCATTCCTTCACATTCCAATCACCGCATAATACAGTATGCACCGACTCATTCCTTCACATTCCAATCACCGCATAATACAATGTGCACGACTCATTCCTTCACATTCCAATCACCGCATAATACAACGTGCACCGACTCATTCCTTCACATTCCAATCACCGCATAATACAGTGTGCACCGACTCATTCCTTCACATTCCAATCACCGCATAATACAATGTGCACCGACTCATTCCTTCACATTCCAATCACCGCATAATACAGTGTGCACTGACTCATTCCTTCACATTCCAATCTCTGCATAATACAGTGTGCACCGACTCATTCCTTCACTTCTTATCCACAGCATAACATAATGTGCATTACTAGTTGGGGGAGGCTGTCCCTATTTGTCAATTATCCCTGCGGTAGGAATACACATTTCTCTCTGTGTAAACTTTTCACTGCATCTTGATTAGTGTATGGGGAGTGGGCTATAATCACCGCTACACTGAGGAATGGAGGGTCCCTGCTCTGGTTCAGAGCTCCATAACAGGTAAAATGTGTTTGTATATATCTGATAGTCATGGCAAAAAGAAAGTGCACCTTATTTGAATTCTATGGTTTTACTTATCAGGACACAACAACCACCTGTCCCTTAGCAGGTCTTAAAATCAGGTAAATAAAACATCAGATAAACAAGACATATTATACCGTGTCATGATTTATTTAACACAAATAAAGCCAGAATGGAGAAGCCATGTGTGAGAAACTAATTCCGCTTTATGATTCAATATGTTCTAGAACCACCTTTAGCAGTGATGACTTGTGGTAATCGATTTCTGTGTGACTTTATTAGTCTGTCATATAATTGTGGAGGAATTCTGACCCACTCTTCTCTATAACATTGTTTAAATTCATTGAGGTTTGCTGCCATTTATTTACGCACATAAGGTCCCACCACAGGATTTCAATCGGGTTGCAGTCTGGACCTTGTAGTAGATTTGCTGCTGTGCTTGGGATCATTGTCCTGTTGCATGACAAAGTTTCGGCCAAGCTTTTGCTGTCGGACAGATGGCCTCACATTTGACACTATAATCCTTTGGTAAACAGGAGTTCATGGTCGACTCAGTGACTGCAAGGTTCCCAGGTCCTGTTGTAGCGGAGCGCTTGTCCTGACCAGGACTCTCCTCTGCTGGATCCGTGAAGACTGAAACTCAGGAACAAGGCACTGTGAAGTGAATAGCTCTATCCCTCCCCAGTAACTGGACGACACACAGTTCTGGGAGTACAACTGATTTATTCAGCACAAACTCAGTCTTTTATGCACAGACCCCCAGCAGGGGTTCTCCATTCAAGAGTACACAAGCCCCTCCCAGACAGCACCTTTGTCTGGGAGCTAATTGAGTCAAAACGGAGTAACTCTATTATCTCTCAGTATCAGGAAACTACATGAAAAATTCATGAAACACCCTAAAAACATAGTCATATTTCACATGAACCTCACAAGCCTTATATCCCCGGATCTGAGCGCCTAAGTTGTACAAATAGCGCTCAGATCCATTTGGTAGAACGGAATCGCCATTCGGGTCCACTTTCGGGAGTTACTGTGCGAACACCTGATGCATGCTCACCCTGGCTTTTAGGGAGCGAATGCTCCCCCCAGTTGGTAGTTCCTATCTCCCGAATGTCAATCGCCTAGCTGGTCGGAAAGCGGGTTGTGTAGCAATACAATCTTTGCCCGGGTTCGCGGGATCGTGTAGCCGAAAAGAGTTTCAGGCGTTCGACGACCAGGTACTGCTGCCTGTGTTTGGGAGACGAAATGGTGGCCACCCAGGTAAAGCACTCAAGTTAATTACTTGATTGCAGTTAACAGACACATCGTCCATTCAGGAAACTAACAAGGGGTGTACGGACAACCGAACAGAAAGGGAATGAGTCTGCTACACCTGTTACTGCAAAACAAGCCCCCCCATCACCGTGCTTGATATTTGGTATGAGGTGTTTGTGCTGATATGTTGTGTTTGGTTTTCACTAAGTGTGACGCTGTTCATTATGGCCAAACATCTCCACTTTTGTCTTGTTCAGTCTTTTTCTATTTGTACTGCCATAACCATTAAACATGTAACACGCTAACTGACACCTTTAGAGTCTGAGAAAGAACTCTTGGGTTTTTTGCAATTTCTCTGAGCGTTTCATGGCCTCACCTTGGGGTGAATTTGCCGGGACGCCCACTCCTCGAGAGATTGGCAGCTGTCTTGAATGTTTTACACTTTTGAATAATCTTTCTCATTGTAGAATGATGGACTTTAAATTGTGTAGAAATGGCCTTATAACCCTTCCTAGTTTGATGGGCAGCAACACTTGCTTCTGTAAGATCATTGCTGATGTCTTTCCTCCTTGGCATTGTGTTAACACACACCTGAATGCTCTAGACCAGCAAACTGCTACAACATTGGCTTTTATAGAGGTGGTCACACTGGCTGAAGATAAAATTAATTAAGGGCATTTGATTAGCAGCACCTGTCTGCCACTTAGCCTCTTAATTTTATGGCAAGGCAGGGGGTGAATATTTGATTTACCTTCTTTGCTGAAAATTTATTTTCCAGCAGCAAATAAATAGTTAACAGAACTTTTTCAAACAACCAATCAGAACAAAATAACAGCAGGATGAAATCCCTCCGTCAGACCCTCGCGTTTCCTCTTTCGTTGCTGCTACCTCCAGGTGAGCACTGTCCAACTCAGAGAGTGTGTCTGTTCTGGGTTCTTTTGTGTATTTATTTGCATTGTTACTACTTATTTTGTGTTTATTATTGGGGCTGCTTGTTTTGTGTGCGCCCCTTTGATTTCTGTGGGGATCTGGGCTACTGGGGTGCTGCCTGGCCTCGCACTGCCCACGATTGCAACACCCTCCTGGGCTTCGCCTGGCACCCCCCCATTTTTTTTTTCAGCCTTTGCGGCTCCCGGCCGCTTTCCCCCACCCCGCTCGCGTCACACAGACCGCATGCGTGCGCTCCCACGCATTCCAGGCAGCTTGGACCTCCAGTTTTTTGCCTGCCCGTTCCCCCTACGTGCTGGCTGTGCTGCTGGGCCCCTCATACACCAATTTATTTTCATGCAGGTCACCTGGGCCCCAGGTGGAGGTAGGCCTCCGCCCTCTTGTGAGGTGACCCCCCCTTACAGCAACTATATTCCAGGGCACCACCTTGTCTGACATTACTGCCCCCTACTGGGGTGTCAGTGACACTTTTTGGGATTGGGTGACACCCTCCCTCTGACCGCACTGCTGGACCTTCAATGTCCTCTTTCATTCATCCTGAGGGTGACCCCCTACCGCTGACTGAACTGCTGGACCTACAGGGTCCTGTTATAATCATACTGAGGGTGGCCCCCCTCCCTAGCTGGCCTATACTGCATGGTATGCTTGTGCTTGTTGGGTGACCCCCTCTTGCACGCTGGGTGACCCCCAGCTGGCCTCACCAGGTACCATACTGACAGTGTTTTACCTCTATGGCAGTGATACAGTCATGGCTGACGGAGGATATTTCCCAGAAGGTCTCCAGGCCTGACTTCTTGCCGCCTTAGTGGCCTCACTGCCTGAAGCCCTCGCTGCCTTCCATGGTGACGCTCCACCGACCACCCTGGACCCTGCACCCAGCACCTCAGGGGCTCGGCGCTCCGACTTGGGTGTTTCCCTCCGCTCTGTGGATATGGCTCCGGATAGGGACCTTGGAAGGGCCATGGCGCTCTCACTGATAAAGAGGAAGCTGCCTGCCAAGTTAACCAAGATGGCCTCTGGTTCAGGCGGCCACCCAGTGGAGGAGGGTTGTGACGTTCTGGATGAATATCGGGCCGAACGCTCTGGTGCCGCACACCCCAGTGTGTTTTTTTTTTTTTTCAGCGACCATTCCCACTACATGTGGGAGACGATGTTGGACTCTCTCCTGACTGATTGCCAAAGGGCCCGCAACCACCACTGATGACCCTTGTGACATTCTGGATCCTTTCGGCCCTTCCCTCTTCAATCCACGACTGGCTCACTTCACTTTTTGAGCAATAACTCCCTTATATAGAAGATGACAAGGGACTCCCATCCTGTTATCAATCTGCATGCCCTCAACGCGTATGTCGTCTATCGACTTTTCAAGATGGAGGGCATCCATCTCCTCAGAGACCTGAAGCCTACCTCATGGTCCCGATCCGTCTGATTCAGGACCTGGGCTTCACCGTCACCGTGGAAAAATCGGAGAATGGTTTCCTCTGGTTTCTGGGTTTCGTGGTGGATTCGGTTCAGGTGGTGCTCCGTCTTCCGATGTCCAAGGTGACCACCTTCAGGAAGGATATCTAACGCCTGCTCCACAACACGCAGGTCACACTAAGGGACCTGGCCCAGACGTTTGGCCTGTTGTCATCCTTCATTCAAGCCATTTTCCAGGACCCTGCACTATCGGGCACTCCAACGCCTGAAGGCTCGCTATCTCAGGTCATCGGCCTCGTACGACCGAGTCACGTGGCTTTTGAATGAAGCCCATCTGGAGCTTCATTGATGGCTTCGACATATGGAGGCCTGGACTGGCAACGTGGTTGAAACGGAGCTCCCTGTACCCCTGGCTGGGTACCTTCGCTAAGGACCACTTCCTAGCTGAAACAGAGGACAAACCGCAGCACTTCTGCCCACAGTCGCCGTGGCTTGATCGGGGTCCTGGAACCGTTCCCTCCTGGAGCTGAATGGGGAATTCGCTCTAGACACCCCCAGGCACTGGACGACTCAGTCCTGGGAGCTCTAGTCCTTACAAGGACTTTACCCATTGAATCCTCCACACTGGAACAGTGATTAAAGAATAGCCCTTTCCTCTCCCAGTAACCAGACGACACATAGTTCTGGGAGTACAAGCTGGAATATGTGTATTGACAGCCGCAACTGGCACTCCCGCCTGGACTTGAGAGTAGACTACAGTAAAAACATACACATAATTACATTGGCTCTCAGGTCCAGGACACTCCCATACAAAACAATATAATCCCTCCCCTATGCCTGGGAGATAATTGAGTCAGGCACTGTATTAAACTCAATTATCTCCAAGCACAAAAACCACACATTTCCCAAACACCCCAAAAGTACCCCAAAAATCCCCCTACAAATTACATCCCATGATAGCCCTGATCTGGGTGACAAACATATCTAAAAATCACCCAGATTGGTTCATGGGTTTAGGATTTTTCTGGAAGTCATAATTTGAACGACCGCACGCTTGGTCCTATTCCCAAAATAGTTCAATAGAATCGTGGCTAAGTACCGCTGGGGACCAACCAGGAACCGCAAATGCCGAAAATAGTTCCAGGGCATTCATGGCTAGGTCCCCCTGAAGTCTATTTGCGGTTTTGGTCCATGCGAACAGCTGCCAGGGAGCTAGCGTTCGGTTCTATGCGCATGAATAGAAAGTCCCGAACCAGGGGGAATAAAAGATGGGTCTTTACAGTCGCTGACCTGGCCCATAGTCGGTGGGCAGGAGACCAGCTTCCACACTCCTCCAGGAGTCCGTGGCAAACGTCTGTGGATGATTTTCGGACCTCAACCAGACTTCGTCCTGGAATCAGACACCAGCTGTATGGGCTTTGGGCGCTACTTGTGATGGCGTAGCGACAGGAGTACTCTGGACTCCGGAGGAGAGAGCTCTTCACGTCAACTGTCTGGAACTAATTGCAGGATCGTTTGCCACTCGCAGCTTCACCAAGGGGAAGAATCGCTTCTCTGCATGGACAACGTCCCAGCTGTCCGTTACATAAATTGGTTGGGAGGTTTCCTGCTCCAAACTGCTGTCGGATCTCACGAAGGATCCCTTTCAATACTATCTGGACAAGAATTTGTCACTTGTGGCA